GCGGCCCGGGTCCGAGAGGGCGCCGGCGGCGGCCGACACGGGTGGGTAGCCGGCGTCGCGGGCGCCGAGGGCCAGGGCGCGCGCCGTGAAGCCGTGCGCGGGGACGTGGGCGTAGGCCGCGGCCAGGATGGCGGCCTCGGTTGCGCTGAAGGGCGGGGTGGTGGTGGTGGTGGTGGTGGAGATGGGGGGTTGTTGGGCTGATGTTGTTGTCGGGTGGTAATGCCGTGCCGCGGCGGCGGCAGCGGCGGTGCGGGGTAGTGGTGGTGGGAGGAGGAGGGGCCGGCGGGCCGGCGGCCTAGAGGAGAGGCATCGCGAGGCTGCTGGGGTGGTGCCGAGGAGGGTCGGCGCGGCGCGGCGGACCGGGCGGGCGGTCGGGGCGAGGGGGGTGCGGGATCGGCCGAGGCTGGATCGGGTCAGGGTGCGGAGGGCACCGGGGAGCGGCTGTGAGGCGGGCATGGTTTCTTTTTTTCTTCTTTTTTTTGTTCCTGTCGATCTCGGGTTGTTTTCTGCCTTCCTCTTCCTCGCTGTTGACGATCAATTGGATGTAGCCCGCAGCGAATGCGGGCCTCACACATGGAAGGAAAATCGGCCCAAATATTTCTTTTTTTTCTTTTTTTAGGCGGGCCGTCGCGCGACTGCCTATCTCGTTTGGGCGATGCGCGACTGCCGCCCGTCCCATTTCTAACCCCAACCCTGTTGCCAACCAGGCAGGCATCTTCCTGTTCTCACTGGACCTGCCAGCCATACCTTGTGAATAACAGCGTGAAGAGTCACGTACAAATCCAACTCCCTGGCGTCAGCACCCACACATCCATGATGGCCACATCCCACGACAGGATTGGACTGGCTCCCAGGAGGGCTAATGCAGTGCCCTTCACAGGCGTCCGAGCCGCCACGTCTCGGCGAGCAGGAAGAAGGCCTCCCTGCCGCGGCCAGCTGCACGACGGCAGTCAATATTTCGGTCGGTTGTGACCCTTGGCCGCCGGGAGGGGTGGGGTCTATCAGTGTGCTTACATCCAGAGCATGCTCCGTATGTACGATCCTGGTACCCCCAGCCTTTCTTTTTTGCCCTGCTTCTCCATCATCACCTTTATATACACATTTCCTCCCCTTTTGCCTTCATTCCCTCTGCCCCAGTCCAATATTCCCGCCAAAGGCCATCTGCCGTGTGTTTCGCGTCTCCGCCCGGGCCTAGACTCCGTGAGCAGCGACCTGGTTGGCATGCCTACCTGGCATGCCTGTTGAGCAATGTTCCACAGCCCCAAAAGCCTGCGCTCGTTGGCCGTTGGTGCACTCCCCCTTGCTGGTGAGGCTCCTTGCGGCACAGGCGGTGCGAGTAGGCGGCAAATGTACCTACAGACCTGGGAAAGGTACCCCGTCGATCCCAGCTATACCCAGTGCATGCGTGTCAGCTATGATCAAGACCTACATACACCTACGTATATCCCGCACTGCCTAGAATAGGGGCACACGGGCACTGGCGGGCAAAGGAATGGTGTGTCTTGGCTCATGCATGGGTCGGGTGGCCATCCTATACACCTAGCCAGGCCGCACCTGACAGTCTGATTTGCTCGCTGGCAAATTGCCTGCGCCGCAGGCTGAGAGGAAGCGGCGGTAGCACAGCATGACTTTCTGCAACCACAGGATGCGACCAGAGTCACCCTACGACACATTGGACAGAAGGAGGGGGGCCCAGAGCCTGCCTTGGCTTTTTGTGCCACCGACCCAAGTCTCGAGCCCGTGGCCGGCAAACGTGTCGGACAGCTGCATGCCCCGGTGCCCGTCTTGCCGTCAGTGGGCGCCATTGCTACAATGCCGTTCATCTGCAGCCACGGTGGCGCCCGTTCCCGTGGACAGGGAGGCCGAGGGCGCGATGGTGGTCCCCAAGTCGGCACAGCTCGTTGCCGACGGGACACGGCGTGGTAATGACAGCACCCCGCAGCTCGCACTCCTCTTAGAGGCGGCCTCTGCATGCTGTGGGCTGGGGTGCGCTCGGACAGAGTGGGACGGCGACCGGCCGTTCGTCGTCGCTGTGGTGTCACCGGAGAACGGGCCCGGGCACCGGCGAAATCACCTGGCCTAAGAGACCTGCCATCATGCTCGGGGCAAGCTTGATTTGGGGGGGCTGGGGTGTTTTGGAACCCATGGTTATGTCCTTGGGTCGCCAGATGGATATCGAGTGACGCGCTCCATAAGTGGCGTAACTACCGAGCTGCTCGTCCAACACGATTTCGAGTGCCATCCGGTCAGCCGACAGACAGTCATCAGCGGTGGGATGGAGGGGCACTTTTGTGTTTGAGTCTTGGAAGCACGGCAGATTCGGCGCCGTCCCTCGTCTCCTAACTTGCCTCGTCAAGAATACGGCAGCAGGTATAGACCCGAATAGGCCTGGTGCCTACCTATACAAGGGGAGAGGAGAAGAAGTAGCCTCGGAGCGTCCACGTCCAGCGCAGGGCGTGGGCCAGGGTGCCAGGGTCGGTTGGCCGGAGGAGGGGCCGGGGAGTAGGCAGCAGGACGCGTGGTGGTGCATGGCGTTGGCGCGGGAGGGTGGTTCCAGGCGGGGAGCGTCGTGCTCGAAAGGGTCTTGACCGTGAACACCCAGCACTGTCCAGTGTCACGACGCCGTGTGGACCCTGCCCGAGAGTGCGGCTCATGTGTGCGTCTCGCCCAGTTGCTAAAGATCTCGTTGATGAGCTGGGCTGTTTTTCCCCGCCCGTTAGTTCTGTTGGTCTCAACCTTTGCGCACACTGACCTGCCGCCAACTTGGCAGGACTGGTGGTTGGTCCCAATCGCCGTCTGGCGTTGGCTGCGGACACTGTGGCCCCGCTTCCTGCTGCAACTCGACCACTCCATCCGCCCAAGCCTTGCTGTCGATTTGTCCGCTTTCCGCTTTCCGCTTTCCGCTTGACGCGAATGGCGGCACTTCTTTCAGCCCAGCCGGACAACACTGCCAAGTCGATGGACGGTAGGTGCCAACCTGGGTAGGTGCTGTTAGGTGCCTGGCCGCGTTAGCCTCCACCCAGGCTCTGTCCATTCGCCGCATTATGTCTGGTTGTCAGGATCATTAGTTGACAAAGTTCTGCTGGTGCGGGAGCCGAAAGAAACCGCCCACGTCGAGGCCGAAAAAGAGCCCCCCAAAAAACTGCTGTCGTGATGGAGTGCCTCCAATTCGGCATGCGGGAGTGCTGCCACCAACCCATGGGCGTTGCAGCACGCACGTACCACACACCACCATCCATCCCTGCACCACCACTCGTTCCCCACCACTGGCCCAATCTCCGGCGCCTGTCCAATAGGAAGTAGAGGCAACATGGCTGTCCCACCCGCCGCAAGCCTTCTCCCCCCGCCCAGGCCTAGGTCCTGTCATGGTTGATTCTGCGCTGGGCTGTTGAGGCCTGCCTTCCAATGGCCACGCGCGGGCACCTCTTTGGATTGACTTCTTTTCCCTTGGGTGGCCCGACCTAATTTTCGCGACGCGTTGCTCTCCGTTCTGTCCTGCCTTGCCTTTGCTCCGCCTTGACCTGCCCTGCCCGCCCACCTGCCGTTTTGGAACCGTTACGTTTTCCCCAGTGGTCAAACGTGCCGGCAAAAAAACGACCGTTCTTCTCTCCCCTCGTCCCTTCCACAGCCGCCTGCAGCTCCATCCCTGTCAGCCAGAATCGGCTGGACCCGCGCTAGCACGAGCATTGAGCCCAGCTCGCAGCCCAGCTCCACCTCCCTCACAACCGTTGTCAGCTTTTCCGTCCCAAGAAAGATCGACGCGGCCACACCACGCGATTGACGCCAAAACGCCGACACACACGCACAACTCACCCGCTCTCGCTCGTCCACTGACGCGCTATCCTAGCTGAGGTACTCCTGCGTGGTCTCGCCCACCCAACTCAGCCTGCACCTACACCCAGCCTGCACCGACGCTGCTTGACAGGCGACCTTGCCAGCGCCTTCTTCCGCTCCTGGTACCCTCCTCGGTCCCAACGACCTCTCCTCCCACCCTATCACCCTCCCAGCCGACCAGGCGGCGCCCTTCGCGCATCCCGTTCTGCTGCTTGCTGCATACGCCGCCCAGCTGCCGCTGCCGCTGCGCTCGACCCAGCATCCTGCATTGTCGCCTGCAGCGCGTCATCCAGGTCTTGTCGCGCACTCGCTCGCCGCAACACCGTGTGTGGCCTCTGCTTGACCTGGCTGTCACCCCCCCTTACTCGTTGCCCACAGCGACATCATTTGTCTTGCAGCCGCCCGTTTATCTCTGGCACTACGTCTGCCCAATCGAGCCCCGTCTCCGACAAGGCAGAATAAAATTTCTCTCCGTCCTCCAAGCGCCTGAGCTTGAGGCTTCCGAAAGAAAGAAAAAATGGGTAAGTAGTTCCTATTCGGGAGACATGCTTTGACAACTGGCTCCGTTATTTCGCAGGAGAGCACCTGCAGTCCCCCTGCCTTCCCTCTAGACTTTCCCAGCAGCCCATCACCACCCGACCCTCCTCCCCCTCTGTTCGGCCTTCCTTGCCCCGACTCGCATGTATCTCCATCCCCATGGGCTCTCTCAAGCCCGTCTTTCATGAGTGATATCAGTGCCTTTACTGTGGCAGCGCCAGTCGCAGTCAGGTCCGATACCTTACCCGTCCTCCATCGAGAGATGGCCCGTCGGGTCTCAGCCTGGCCTGGCTCTACATCCTGTCCTGCCCGGTCTGAGACAGTCACGTCTTTCGTCCACCAACCAGTGGTTGTGCGCATCGCGCTATCGCGAGTCCGGCCATAATGCCCCGATGACGTGTGACGAGGCACTGCTTGTTGCCTCTTGTAACTCGCTTCCACCGCGCACCATGTCGTCTTGCTCGCCCCTGGACGGGCTGCCGCCCAGTCAGCGCTCGCCTCTGCCTTCCAGGTTACTTGCTCGCTCACCACTGGTCACCCTCCGTGTCCCTTCGTCGCTCATATTCCCAACCATTCCCTGCCCTCGCTTCCATACCCCGGCTTGGTGCCGTGCCTGGCGCCCCGTCCGTATCTCGCGGCCCCATCCGAGGCCGTAGAGGTACTTGGGCCTGCGTCGTCTTCTCCATATCCCACACCCCCTACTGTTCACTGCCCAATAATGGTACATACCGCCCGGATGTGCGTTCATGCGCTGGAAGAGATTTCTGCACACAAGCCTCGGTTCTTCCGCATCGAAGTCCACCTTCTTGCTTTCCATCCTGCATGCCTATACGACCCTTCCCTCGATCCACCGTACTGTTCCATGCCCCCGCTGCACATTTTGTCCAGCCTGCCCGGCCATCCATCTCACCCACACACCCCTCTTCCTATTCGCCACACTGTGCAAACTCGTCGTGCTGGCCACCAAGTGTGTCTGCTCTAAATACATATCCCCGACCGGCCCCTACTCCTCGTGCCCTGCCTCACCCTTCCCGCTCCAACCGCTCTCTCGCTGTTGGCACAGACTTCTAACTCTTTGCTTTCCTTTGAACAGCTGACAACGGAGACAACTACCGCCCTGTAAGTATCATTCCATCGGATCATCCTCCTGCTTCTTGTTTCTCAGCCTCGAAGCCCTCGGCCTCGGCCTCCTCGGCTGCCGCAACGGCCCCAACGTCGCACTTCGTATGCATGCCCATCGGGTGTGGCGCTATCTCTCTCATAGTCGAAAAGGCGAACGCTCTGGTCCAGCGTCCTCACGGCATGCCACGCGATATTCGCTCCCCTAGTGGGTGCTGGCTAGTTCGGTATTTCATGGGCGTGCTCTCGCTATTTTAAAGTTTCGGTCCCCTAAAGCCAGTGCAATGCTGGGGATGAGATTGACTTTGGGCGTTTTTTTCCGCACGTCTAGTGCATGCATATGATGCGCTTGGGGCTCGAGCCCTACAGCTGAGGGGACCTTGGCTGGCCTGGCTGTCTCCAAGCAGGAAAATGACACCCTCACAGTCTGTCGTGCTTTCAGTTGCGTTGTTGCTAATGAGGCTTGGGCGAGTATGGTATGCCAACACTCTACTGACATTTTGCAGCGTGAGAGGTCGCGGTCGCCCCGTCGTGGTCGATCACGAAGCCCAGGTCGCAGTGGACACCGCCGGTCATATTCGCCGCGCAGCAACCGATCTCGGAGCGCCGACCGGAACGATCGGAGAAGGTCCCGCTCGCCCATGAGTGGACAGGGAGCACCTGCCGGAGGATCTAACGCGGGTTATGGTGGAGCTTCACGCCCCTCTGAGGACCGTAATCAAGGAAAGGACCAGATGATGAGCAACCTGCGAGAGAATTCCCAGCAAGACCGTCGCGTCTATGTCGGGAATCTGTCCTACGACGTCAAGTGGCACCATCTGAAGGACTTCATGCGACAAGGTGCGTCTCCTTTCCGGTCTAATTGGCCTTGGCTCTCTCGCCGGACCTCTGGTTTCTGGAAATGCTGACAGTTGTGAACCGTGCCCCCTGTTCCAGCCGGCGAGGTGATTTTTGCCGATGTGTTGCTGCTTCCGAACGGAATGTCGAAGGTGGGCGTCTAACAGGGCTGTTTTGTGGCATCCCGTCTCTTGGTCTCTACTGCGCTGCTTGAAGGAATTGTAGGATTGACGGGTTGGGGCGTTGGTGCCTGTTGGTTACTATAGGGATGCGGGTAAGTTCCAGACACCTCCGGAGCCCAAACAGACCCTTCCTACTGCACCACGCGGAAGCTAACTTTACCGACCTTTGCAGAATTGTGGAATACGCCACGAGGGAGCAAGCGCAGAACGCGGTCGCCACTCTCAGCAACCAGAACCTGATGGGTCGCCTCGTTTACGTCCGAGAGGTGAGTCGGCCTGCACCCGATGCGTCATGGCCCATATTGGCCATGTCTCCTCGTGTAGGCTAATTTGACTGACTCTTACTCGGAAACAGGATCGCGAGGCTGAGCCGCGGTTTAACTCCAACGCGGGCGGCCGTGGTGGAGGTTTCGCTGGTACGGGCGGCCCTGGCAACTTCGGCGGCCCTAGCGGGTTCAACCCCATGGGCGGCAGCACTGCCGGCCGCCAGGTCTTCGTCAACAACGTTAGTGCTGGCATCTTGATCTCGCTTGGACCTCTGTCGGGTTGCAACCAACCAACTTTGCTGACAACACATTATACAGCTTCCATTCAATGTCGACTGGCGCGAATTCAAGGACTTGTTCAGACAAGCGGCCCGTGTCGGAGGTGTCCACCGAGCCGATGTCCACATGACGCCAGATCAACGACCCAAGGGGTCGGGCATTGTCATCTTCGACAGTCCCGATGACGCCAACAACGCCATCAACCAATTCAACGGTTACGAGTGGTACGGCCGCACGCTGGAAGTTCGCCTCGATAGGTACGCAGGCGCTGGATATGGCGGCGCTCGCGGCGGATTTGGTCAGCGCGGCGGCTTCGGTGGCTTCAACCGAGGCGGTGGCTTTGCCGGCCGGGGAGGCTTTGGTGGCGGCGGCTTCAACCGGGGCGGATACGGCGGTGGTTTTGACGCCTCGGTCTCTAACCCTGTCGCCGCCGTCGCCGCTGCTGCCGTCCCGGCGAACCCTTTTACCGACAACGCCACGTCTGGAACCGAGCGCAGCGAGACGATTTACGTGCGCAACGTAAGTGCATTTTGCTCAAGCCTTTGTCTCGTGGCTTCTATGGCTGATACGCGGCTTTCTTTCTTTTTAGCTTCCGTGGTCCACGAGCAACGATGACCTCGTTGAGCTCTTTACCACCATCGGCAGGGTGGAGCAGGCCGAGATCCAGTACGAGCCCAGCGGCCGCTCTCGTGGCAGTGGCGTAGTCCGCTTCGACAGCGCCGAGACGGCCGAGACTGCAATCGCCAAGTTCCAAGGCTACCAGTACGGCGGACGGCCACTGAACCTCAGCTTCGTCAAGTACGTCAGCAACAACGCCCCCGGCGTCGACTCCATGGACACCGATCCCCACGGGGGCCTCACCCAAGACCAGATCATGTAAATCGTCCTAGGGCACTGGCCGATGTCGACTCTATCCACGTTCCGTCGCCCCGCCGGCGAATCATGGCCCATCTTGGGTCCGCGATCTACGGCCTTTTCTCGTTTTTCTTTGGCACTGTCTTGACCGGCTTCCTGCTACCAAGCAGTATAATACTGTATCTGCGTCTCATATCTCTTTGATCCAATTCGGTCACTTGTTTGTCCCTGTTTGGTACCCAAAATTTCTTTCATATCGGCGTCTCATTATTCGTCTTCGACAAACTCACGAAGAAGAAACAAGTCCGCGAGGGGGGCTATAGTCAACTCGACACACCCACCCGCTGACACGAACCGAAACCCTCCTCCGAGCGCGACTTATTCGACATCTAGCCGCCCAACACGATGCTAATAAAGCTGCAACGGTGAGGAGAGGGACAGGACGACGGGCTGGTCGTCGGATTGTATTGTCTCTATGCGGAGAGGTGGAGGATGGAAAATAAAAAGAGGAGGATTGGGCGCCAATTTTTACCCTAGATTGTTCCTGGAATAGCACCTGATTCTCCCGTGCTGTTGGTGGTTTGGCTGGACGGCTCCGGAAACGGTTGGTTTGCGGTGGGCCTGGTTGAGTCATTGGTGACTGGGCTTCAAGCGTAGGATCTGCGACGGCGTGATGGCGTATTGGAGTATGGAGTTTACGCGGCCGACTGGCTGGCCTGCTGCCGCCCGACGTATCGACCGGCATCGGACTACAGGACGACGGCGACGTTATTTCGACATGACGCATAAGCGGGCCAGCGAGCGAGCGAGCAGATACCCTGGCGGGTGATGGAATTACTGGGTGGGTTCTTGGAGTGGGAGGGCGAGCAATGGCATTCAGGTGCCCAGGCTATTACACCCCTTGTGTTGCCCTCGCCCCTGTGGGATGGAGCACGGGGTACACGTGGCTCACAGGCACAACGGATCGATTGTCGAGCCTGAATCGGGGCTTTGCAGCGCCCTGTTCCCGTGCCAGACACGCCCGAAATGAGGAGAGCCATTGTCATTTACGCGGTCTGGGCCGCTGGGTCGGGGAAGGATCATGATAATCCTGATCTTGTTAACATGTCCCTTTTAGCCGTCGCATATCAAAGCTGCGCGGCCAGTTTTTTGTATACGTCACATTGAAGCCTAGGGATGCCATTTTGTCATACTCATGTTGATTCAATGCGACTCGGGGCAGTCAAGTGCGCTGGCTTCCTGACCATCCACCGCCCCCTTTCCATGTTTGACGTGGCCCTGCTGGCACGACCAAACACACACCAAACGCTCATGAACAGATGGGGCGAGACCGGAGCACGAACACATGCTCCGTGTGCGGCCCACGGCTCGTAAGAACAGTGCAATCGGGCACGCTGTCGGTTCGACTGAGCTGGTGGGCCATGACTGCGCCTCCGGCATATAAGCTGTCGCTGTTGGCGCTGGACCGGCGGGCGCCCCCCTGGTATCTGTCTCGTTGATGCCTCTTGGCGGCCTGGGCGTTAGGAGTCGTGATCAGTCAAGAGTTGCCTAGGTGAGTGGTCTGTTTTTTTCCATGTCGCCGCCAGATGGTTAGGTGTCGATCTTGAGCAAAACTAAGAAATAACCTAGAGCCGAGTCCTCGTTCCCTCTTTGAATTCTCATCTGGAAGGCTGCACATCCATACACACACCATCAGGACCAAACTAGGCAAAGACCATACAAAGTCAAAGCAAGGCCTAGGTTTGGAAGAAGAAAAAAGCCACCACGCAACGACGGCCCACCCGTCTAGCGAAATGTGCGAGATACACTACTACCGCTGCACGACGTGCAGCGTGCGGTGGGAGGCGCACAAGAAGCTGGCGAGCTGCGAGAGCAGCGAGCCCGAGGAGCGGTGCCCCAAGAGCCTCATCATGATTGTGGGCAACCAGCGGCGGCCGCAGAAGCGCGAGTGTGACTCGTGCCAGCACCTGCGCGAGGTCATCGAGAGCATGCAGGAGGATGACAACAGCGAGGACGAGCGGGCGCGCCGGCGGGAGCGGGAGCAGCAGCGGGGGCGCAGGGGCGGCGGCATGTGAGGGGGTGGGTTATGCGGGCTTTTTTGGGGGGGGGGGAGGTTGGGGGTGCTGCATGGTTTCTTGGGCGGGCATGGGTACATGGGATGATAAAAGGGGGCGTTTTTGTCTCCTGTGAATAGCTTCAATCGCAAAAGCAAGGGGCGCGGAAAACAGGATGTCATTAAACATGCCATTGTGACCAAGGGTATTATCGCGGCCCCCCTTTTTTCTTGACAAAAGAACACCTACGCCGCCTTGCCAGTCGCGGCGGCGCCCTTCCTCTTCTTGGCCTTTGCCTTCTTCTTGCTCTTGTCCCTGGGCTTGAGCGCCGCCATTCCCGCCTTGCACACCTCGGCGTAGCGCGCATAGAATGCGTCGAGCGCGTCCGGTTCGACGATGGTCGAGAGCTTGAGGCGCTGCGCCCGCTTGGAGCCCTTGTCGCCCGTCTTGCCGTCCGTGGCCCGGATCAGCACCGGCAGCGGCCCGGCCGGGCTCAGGTCCGCGAGCGGCGCTGCGCCATCGGTTTCTTGCTGCTGGCCGTACGTCACTGGGGGAGTTTGACACGGAGTCGTAAGCTTTCGCTGTGGGGCAGGCAGGTCGTCTAATGGGTGCTGATGGCGGGCATTCAGGGTGCGTACATCGCTTCTGTGTCAGGTAGACGGCGCCGTGGTCTTGCCCCTTGCGCGACTCGAAGAGCTCGGCGAGCTTGACGAAGAACTGCGCCGCGGGCCGAGGTTAGCTAATTGTAGGCTGGCAACTAGGGGAGGGGTGGGAAGTCGGCGTACCTCGTCGCTTGTGAGGTGGCCCATGGTTGTTTGATACCAGGGCGAGCTGCCTCTGCTCTACCTGGGGAGGGACCTGATATTTTCGATTAAAACAGCCGGTTTCTGGTCGCGCTGGTCGTCGGGATTGGGAGCCAAAAAGCCAGCCAACGCATTGCAGCCATCGTGGGGCGCTGCCCCGCAGTCGTGCGACGTCGATTTTAGGGTTGGCTTAGCGCTTTCTGGAAATGGATGGCCCGCTAACCACCGCTGATGGCACGCGTCATTCCGCCAATTGACCCACTTACCCCAGCGAAGGAGGCAGGGGATTGACGGGGGGCGAAAAAAAAAAAAAGATGCGACGACCACAATTTCGGACGGCATTGCCAAAAGCGCCGAGAAAGCTTTTCCGCCAGAACTAACACAGCCCCTCGCGCCTGCACTCCCTCCATTCGGGGAATTGTCTAGGCATGGCTAGATTTCGGGATTCCAAGGGGCCGTCCCTCCCATTAAGCCTTTTGCAGGAAATTGGTGAAGGTAGGACTCCCTCTAATCGCGCGCATTTGAAAAAAAAGCCGCCGACTGACTCTGGGTGAGCTTAATTAGACAACAATGGCGACACTCACCGAAGATCTCGACCCCAGCGTGGACCGAGGAACAACCACCGCAGGGCGGAGAATGGCGCAAGGAGAACGGCCGGGTCGCGACCAGCGAGGAGGAACGACAGCAACGACGAAGATGAGCCACGACGCGGGACCAGACCAACAAAAGCACTCAAGGAGGAGCCGAAAAAGGCAGCGCCCATAACGAAGCGGAAGCGAGAGCCCGAAGTCGACGAGAGCGAGGAAGAAGAGGAGGACGAGCCCGGCAGCGAGGATTGGGACGGCGACGACGCTTTCGACGAGGACGGCGGCGACGAAGACGAGCCCACAGTGTCCAAGAAAGTGCGCGAGAAGCTCGCGCAGGAGGACAAGGAAATCGCCGATCTCGAGAGGAAGCTGGGCCTGAAGGGGAAGAAGGGCCTGCCAAAGTCGTTCAAGGACGATGGGCTGGGTGACCTGCTGGAGGACCTGGGCTCTGACGATTCTGACGAGGAGAAGCATGAGAGCAGAAAGAGGAAGGCAGAGGCGGACGAGTGGCTGGCCCAGAAGCGCCGCAAAGCTGCTGTTGCCCAGGCCAGTCAGGGCCGTGGCGACTCGGACCAGTCTAGCGATGACGAAGGGGATTTCGGCCTGGACATGAGTGACGACGGCGATGACGACGATGGCAGCGACGACGGGGATGAAGACGGCTTTGAGGGATTCGACTCGGAGCCAGAAACAGCGCCGCCGCCACAGCCGAAGCGGGAGAATCCCTACGTGGCGCCGACAACAGGGGGAACGGTGGCCAAATACGTGCCCCCCTCGATGAGGGCGCAGACAGGATCCGACGCCGAGTTGACATGGAGGATACGGAGGCAGACTCAGGGTCTGGTAAACAGGCTGACAGACGCCAACCTTGTCTCGATCCTGGGCGAGATTGAGAAGCTGTACCGGGAGCACCCGAGACAGCACGTCACGTCGATCCTGTCCGATCTGATACTAGTGCAGGTCTGCGACCCCTCCAGCCTCCCGGACACCCTGCTCATCCTCAGCGCTGGTTTCGCTGCGGCCGCCTACAAGGTCATCGGCATGGACTTTGGCGCATATCTGGTGCAGAGCACAGTGGAGAGGTTCAAGGCGCACTACGAGAACGCCGTCGGCCGTGCCCGGGATCAGCTGGAGCCCACCAAGGAGGCGTCCAACATCATGACGTTTCTGGCGCAGATGTACAACTTCCAGATGATCGGCTGCACCTTGATCTTCGACCACATCCGCATGCTCCTCAGCGAGCTCTCGGAGCTCAACGCCGAGCTTCTCCTCCGAATCATCCGCATGTGTGGAACGGCGCTGCGTCAAGATGACCCGATGGCGCTAAAGGACATCGTCGCCATGATCCGCCCGGCCATGGAGCGGACGGGGGAACAGAACATGTCTGTGCGGACAAAGTTTATGATCGAGACCATCAACGACCTGAAAAACAACAAGATGAAGGCCGGTGCGGTTGCCTCGGCTGTCGTCGCCGAGCACACTACACGAATGAGGAGGCTGCTTGGCTCGTTGAGCTCCAGGAAGCTCAAGGCAACAGAGCCACTACGTATGGGATTGAAAGACATCGAGGAGTCAGACAAGAGGGGCAAGTGGTGGCTCGTGGGCTCCAGCTGGGCCGGCGCCAACACGGTGAGCGGGCGGGCGGCGGGCGTCGGCACTGCCAAGGGTGGCGACCAAGACGGCGAGAGCGAATCCGACGTGGACCTCGACATCACAGGGGAGGGCGCAGCGCCGGACGTGACGGTGCTGGCCAGAGAGCAGATGATGAACACGGACGTGCGGCGGTCTATATTCGTGGCCATCATGTCGGCAACAGACTGCGAGGACGCGTACCACCGGCTGCTGAAGCTGCGGCTCAACAAGGAGCGGCAGCGCGAGATAGCAAACGTGCTCGTCAAGTGCGCGGGGTCGGAGAAGCAGTACAACCCCTACTACGGACTGGTGGCCAGGCGGCTATGCGCGGACCGGCGGGCACGGTGGGCGTTCCAGGACACGCTGTGGAAGCTCTTCCGGCGACTGGGCGAGTCCATGTTTGGCGAGGCGGCCGAGGACGAGGACGATGACGACGAGGCTGTGGACATACGGCGCATCGTCAACGTGGCCAAGCTATACGGGTGGCTGCTGGCCGAGGGCGTCATGGGCTTGGCAGTGCTCAAGTGCCTGAGCCTTGTGTACCTCAAGCCCAAGACCAGCATGCTCATCGAGGTGCTGCTGGTGACAGCCATGCTGAACCAGCAGCAGCAGCAGCAGACAGACGACACGATAGCCAAGATGTTTACGATGGCGGGCGAAGGAACCGAGGATCTCGCGCGGGGCCTGCAGTACTTTGTCAGAAAGACGGTGCGCAAGTCGGACCTCGCGGGCAGCAAGGTAAACACCAAGCTGCTGCGGCGCAGATGCAAGGTCGCCGAGCTGGCGCTGGAGAGAGGTCTGGTCGAGGGAGGGGAGGTGGCGGAATGATGATAGTCTTGTAGATACGTGCTGATTCGCCGAGGCGCCACTGCCGGAACGGGTACATAAAAAAAAGCGGCTACAGTCGCCTTGAACCGGAAGTGACGTCGGGATCGCACGGGCGGAGTGCGGGTCGATCGGAAGGAAGCAGGGGCGATTTACCCATGGTTAACAAATTTGGCGCCACATTTGTCAGGCACCCATTTTGCTTTCCCCAACGGCGGAAAGCCTTGTCCCAAAAAAAAAATACGCCCTGGCCCGCAAGGAAGCTCTCCTTGAGCCGCCCACTGACAAAAGCCCGCGCAAAGAAGTTGAGCGTAGCAAAACCCTCGGGACTTGACCGGCACACCGCATAAAACAGAGGAGTCAATTAACGACTGCCCAATCGAAACACCTTCACGTTCCCTCCCCCGCACATCCGTAATGCTGTCCCGCCGGTTAATATCTGGGCCTCTTGCCCGCTCTACCCTCAGGACATCGTGAGTATTTCCCGCCAGCGAGTGGCTACAGTTCCCGGCTTGCGCTGCTTTGTGGGGCAGATCAGGGCAAACCAGATCAGGGCAAACCAGATCAGGGCAGATGAACAGCCCTGCTCCGGCTTCCAGACGAGCCATGGGCTCTAGCTAATGCGCCCTTCTCTACCGCCAGTGCCCCCTCACCTGCCATCGCGCCCGCCTCTCTGTCGCGATGGAGGCGGTCGTACGCCACCGAATCTGGTCAGCTCCCAGTCCCCGTCCTCCCGCGAGTGCCTTTGTTGGGCAAACGCCTCGGCTTGACTAACGGTTGATTCCCGAAAATAGAGGAGAAGGATCTGGTCATCATCGGAGGCGGTGTTGCCGGCTATGTGGCCGCCATCAAGGCCGGCCAGGAGGGTTACAAGGTATAGCGCCTCCGTTGCCGACGACATGACCCTTGCTACGCCAGACACATGCCAATTGACACGGGAACCTTGTGTAGGTCACCTGCATCGAGAAGCGCGGGACGCTCGGCGGGACTTGCCTCAACGTCGGCTGCATCCCGTCAAAGTCGCTGCTCAACAACTCGCACCTCTACCACCAGATCCTCCACGACACCAAGTCGCGCGGCATCGAGGTCGGCGACGTCAAGCTCAACCTCGGTCAGCTAATGAAGGCCAAGGAAACGTCGGTCTCGGGCCTGACCAAGGGCATCGAGTTCCTGCTCAAGAAGAACGGCGTCGAGTACCTCAAGGGCACCGGCTCCTTCGCCGGCGAGCACGAGATCAAGGTCGAGCTCAATGACGGCGGCGAGACCACCCGCGTCGGCAAGAACATCCTCATCGCCACTGGCTCCGAGGCTACCCCCTTCCCCGGACTCGAGATCGACGAGAAGCGCGTCGTCACCAGCACGGGCGCCCTGTCGCTCGATAGTGTTCCCAAGACCATGACCGTCATTGGCGGCGGCATCATCGGTCTCGAGATGGCCTCGGTGTGGTCGAGGCTGGGTGCCAAGGTGACCGTCGTCGAGTTCCTCGGCCAAATCGGCGGCCCCGGAATGGACACGGAGATCTCAAAGGCGGCCCAGAAGCTCCTGAAGAAGCAGGGCATCAACTTTAAGCTCAACACCAAGGTCGTCAGCGGCGAGACGGGTGGCGAGAAGGTTAAGCTCGAGATTGATGCCGCTAGCGGTGGCAAGCAGGAGACGGTACTGTCCCCCTAATATCTGCCCGCTCTGTGTTGCGTGTGCTAACCACCAACAATACCCAGATTGAGTCCGATGTTGTGCTCGTCGCCATCGGCCGCCGTCCCTACACGGGCGGCCTGGGCCTGGAGAACATCGGCCTTGAGACGGACGAGAGGGGCCGCGTGGTGATCGACTCGGAGTTCCGTACCAAGATCCCGCACATCCGCTGCGTGGGCGACGTGACGTTCGGCCCCATGCTGGCGCACAAGGCCGAGGAGGAGGCGGTGGCTGTGGTGGAGTACATCAAGAAGGGCCATGGCCACGTCAACTACGCCGCCATCCCCTCGGTCATGTACACGCACCCCGAGGTAGCGTGGGTCGGCCAGAGCGAGCAGGACCTGCAGAAGTCGGGCGCCCAGTACCGCATCGGCACCTTTCCCTTCAGCGCCAACTCGCGCGCCAAGACCAATCAGGACTCTGAGGGTATGGTCAAGATGATCTCGGATCCCGAGACGGACCGCATCCTGGGCGTGCACATCATCGGCCCCAACGCTGGTGAGATGATTGCCGAGGGCACTCTGGCGCTTGAGTACGGCGCGTCGAGCGAGGACATTGCCAGGACCTGCCACGCCCACCCCACCCTGGCCGAGGCCTTCAAAGAGGCTGCCATGGCCACGTACGCCAAGGCCATCCACTACTAAGCTTGTGGCGATCAGCAGTGCCGTGGGCGGCGCAGCTGTTGTACTCTTACGGTTATAGCGTTGCATGATAGGGTTGCCCCTGGTTTCTTGGTTTTTTTTTTCCCCTCTACGACCCTGGCTTGTCTTGTGCTTGGAATTTCCGCCTCGTAAATATAGAAGTGTAGAGGTGAGACGGTGGTGGTGAGCTAGACCTCTCCGGTTGGGCCTTCAAAAGGGATCCGGGACATTAAATAACTGCAGCCTTGGTTATTAGTGCGCCGGCGACTCATAAACAGAGCTCACTGTCGGTTGTTTGCTTGACTAGCTGGCTTTCGTTGTCGTCGTTTGGGCGAAAGCGGTGAGGGGAAGCGAGTTTGATGACTGTCCCGGTGGCTTTGCACGAATGGAATAACACGCGGTTCCACGATGCTGGGCACAGCATCCAGCGGCCACGGGGCTCGGGTGCCTTGCGTTGGCGCGCTCGCAAAGGAGTCATTCGCCCAATGAGTCCCAGGCATGCACGTCACGGATCGAACAAACGCAGGGCGAAGCGTGTGTCCAGCGATGCTTCTGTTACACGACCCATGTGGCGACCCGTGGCGGACACACGACAGGCACACCCAAGGTATATATAGGCGAAGGTAGGTAAATGTGATCGCCCCCCCAAGTCAGGATGAGATGGCAAGATTCAGCCAGCCTTGCCACTGACCGCCTGGCGATTTTCAGCGGCTCTATACCACCAGTACGCAACCCGCTAGCACCCGGGCGTGTCTGTCTGCTCAACAGGGTGGCGCTCAGAAGAGAAGAAAAGAGCCATGTACAACGCGCGGTACATGTTTATTCCGTATTCGGACTTTGGTGCGTGGACGTCACCCCTGCGCTTTGTCTCCTGTCTGGGGCACTGGGTGTGGTGTGGGAAAGGGAGTATTGCTAATCGCGTTGCTGTCTCTGCTCATTTTCAGATTATGGAAATTATGGGTGAGTTTGCGACATTCTCGACACTGTCGAACAGTAGGAAGCTAACGTATCGTCTAGCGGCCTGCAAGAGCTGCTCCTCCGCTGCCGCCTCGCGCAGCTGGAGAACAGGCTCGGGGCGGCCATACCGAGCACGTGCGGCGGCGTCTGCTTCCGCGGGCCGGGGGCGCAGGGAGGAGGACAGGGGGTGGCAGCGCAGCCGGCGCAGGGGGCGCAGGGAACCCAAGGGGCGACCGTGACGACCACCACCACCACCACAACCACCACGACCACGGCAGCCGCGCCGCAACCGGCCCAGAGCGGCCCGCTGCCCGACTTGATCCACCTGTGCCCCCTGACGGCGGCACCGGTGATGGGGCGGATACAGTGCTGCAACAGCAACAGCAACGACGTCCGGGCCAGCAGCGGCGGCAACAACAACGCGAGCGGCAATAACAATCAGAACAACAGCAGCGGCCAGGGCGTGGTGAACGTCTTCACGGCGCCGCTGTGGTCGCTGTACCCGGGCCACCTGCAGCAGCAGGCGCAACAGTACTATCAACAACAGCAGCAGCAGCAGCACGCGGGAGGCGGGTGCGAGTGTTGTGGTGGTGGTGGTGGTGGTGGTGGTGGTGGTGGTGGTGGGTGGGCCATGCCGGCCGGGCCGCCCATGATGGGGTTTGCAGGTGGTGGAGGAGGAGGGTGGGGAGTGGGTTGCGGTGTCGCGCCTTGCATGCTGGGCGGCGGTATGGGAGGACAGGGACACCACGGAGGAGGACGGCAGCATCACCGGCAGCATCACGGCGCGGCGGCTCCGGTTCCGGCACCGGCACCGCTACCGGCGCTCATGGGTGGGGCCGGGATGGGGTTCCCGTGGCTGGGCGTGGGGGCGCCGCTGGGCATGGGCATGGGCTTGGGCGGGGGCTTGGGCGGGGACATGCTGGGGGTGGGTGACGGCGGTGGCGGCGGCGTGTTTGCGCTCCCGGGTGGGGGACAGCAGCAGCAGCAGCAGCACCGTTGCCAGCATGGGCAGGGCGGCTGTGGTAGTGGAAGGTGTCAGGGGCAGATGCCGTTTGTGAATTTTATGTGAGACGGGAATTATATCGTTATAGCTGTCCAGCTGGTGGGTCCAAGGGTGGGGGGCAGTGGTCCATTCCGGTTCATGGCAGCCATCAGCCCACCCCGGATGGCAGGAACCTTCGTTGCTGGAGGGCAGGAGCATCCCCGATTCGACTAGTTGCGGATCTAATGTGCCATCTAATGTGCCATCCAATCTTTCTCGTCGAGGCGGTCAAGAAACAGTGCCCGGCCTGGCTTCCTTTTTATCCCTCCTGAACCCCACGAGCCCTCTCCTTCTCTTTCCTCAAACCACCCCATCCCTCCATGTACCAGACTGCTTGCCCGCCATGGCCCCTCAGAGGACCTACCCGCTCATGTCGCGCCGCGAGGTCGAGGCCATGATCGCAGACGGCCACTCGCTCATCGTGCTCAACCAGTTCGTCCTCAAGGTGGACGCCTGGCGCGGGTACCACCCCGGCGGCGACAAGGTCATCCTGCACATGGTCGGCCGGGACGCCACAGACGAGGTAACCGTGTTAGTGCAGTACTTTGGCGCCAAACCCCCGGCACGCTGGGACTAACCATGCACAGCCTCCACTCCCCTGAGGCTCGCCGCATGATGGACAGGTACCGCATCGGCCGCATCCAATGGCGGTGGGAGAACCTGGTGCCCCCGATCCAGGGTGGCGTCTACGTGCCTCTGCCACTAGGGGACGCACCAGAGGTCGCCCTTACCAGCCCCTCGGATGCTTCGTCGAGTGACGCCAGCTCCCGCGCGCCGTCTCCCGTCTTTGAAGAGCAGCAGCCCGTCAGGGGCCGCAAGAAGGGCGACTCCCGCCCTTGGTCGGACACGTCACTGTCATCATCGTCTTCGTCCCCGGCAGTGGACGAGGTCGAGGAGCTGCCCGACGGCATGGCCTTCCTCGACTTGCTGACGCGCAAGGAGATCGACCTCGACCACGCCACGTATCCGCCGCTCGACGACCTCACGCAGGCCGACATTGTGCAAAAGTACCGCGACCTTAACGACCGCATCCGCGCGGCGGGGCTCTACGAGTGCAACTACCGCGCCTACGCCGTCGAGGTGGCGCGCTACGGCCTGCTCTTTGCCTTGATGCTGCTCTTCCTACGCTGGGGCTGGTACGCCACCAGCGGCGTGCTGATGGGCATGTTCTGGCACCAGCTCGTCTTTTCGGCCCACGATGCGGGCCACATGGGAATCACGCACAATTTCCATCTTGACACGGTTATTGGCATTGTGATTGGCGACTTCCTGGCCGGCCTGTCGCTCGGCTGGTGGAAGGCCAACCACAACGTCCATCACATCATCACCAACCACCCCGAGCACGACCCGGACATCGAGTACCTGCCCTTCCTCGCCGTCACGCACCGCTACTTCAAGTCACTGCGCTCCAGCTTTTACGACCGCGTTATGGAGTACGACACGGCCGCAAAGGTGCTCGTCAGGGCCCAGCACTACCTCTTCTACCCCATCCTGCTCTTCGGCCGCTTCAACCTGTACCGTCTGTCGCTCGAGTACCTGTTGCTGCGTAAGGGGCCCCGCAAGGGCCCCGCGTGGTGGCACCCCTACCTCGAGCTCGCCGGCCACGCCTTCTTCTGGTACTGGTATGGTTACCGCATCGTGTACAGGAGCATCCCGACCAACGGCGGCCGCTTCGCCTACGTCATGTTGAGCCACATGGTGACGATGCCGCTGCACCTGCAGCTGACGCTGTCGCACTTCGCCATGAGCACGGCCGACCTGGGCCCGCGCGAGTCGTTCCCGCAAAAGATGCTGCGCACCACCATGGACGTCGACTGCCCCGAGTGGCTCGACTTCTTCCACGGCGGTCTGCAGTTCCAGGCCATCCACCACCTCTACCCGCGCATCCCGCGTCACAACCTGCGCCGCGCCCAGGCCCTAGTGCGCGACTTCTGCCGGGACGTCGACATCCCCTACGCCATGCTCGGGTTCGTCGACGGGAACAAGCTCGTGGTCGGGAAGCTCGCCGACGTTTCCAGGCAGGCTGCCATCCTTGCCAAGTGCCACCAGCAGTCGAGTACTCACACGCACTGACTGCAGCGTTTTCCTACCTTGGCTAGCCGCGGCTTGGATACGGCCCCAGTGCGGCAGGCGGGGGTAAGAGCTTAGAAGCGATCTCCCGTAACACAAAGAGCCATGTAAACGCCGCCTTATACTGTGTGCCGAGGGAAGGAGTGCACACGCAGGCCGTAGCCGACGCCTGCGGCCCGAATCTCATGTGTGTGGAGATCGTAGCCTTACTCTCTGGGAGCCCTTTGCCGACGATGCGCTAATGTATGTGCCTGCTGTGCACATGCATGGCTGCGGCATATCTTGCGCCGTGATCAAAGGCGTCAACTGTCGAGCCAGAAGCGGCGCGGGGTGACCGGGTCGGTGTGATTGCCGACCAGCCCCCGGCCCTTTCTAGCACGCCACACCGACTTGGCCGCCGACTCCCTAGAGCAAGTGGTTCGACCGGTTTTTGGGATGCTTGCTTTCCGTCGGGTGAGTTTTTGGGGAGGAAGGATGGCCAAAACTGCACTTTCACCCCATCACCGATAGATGCCGGGAGAGGGCGTGACACTCGGCTACAGGCGCCACAACATCATATTATTGAGTGACTGTGGTGTAGGTCGTAGGGGTGAAGATGTAGGGAGGCAAGTGAATAAGACGCCATGCCCGCTTGGGCCAGATGGTACCACCACACACGCGTTCTTTCATACACCCCTGTCGAAAAAAAAGGCCAAGAGGGACAAAGGGAGGGGGCCTGTCAGTGATGCATGGTAGAGGAGACTCGGGAGAGAATCCACCACTCAGCTCCCTCCAGTAAACAGCCCTGGGCCGCTGTTGACAGGGAGTTCCCTGGTACGTATTTCGTATTAGGAGAAGTGGGCGAGAGTCCTCTGTCCGTACATACGTGTTGTAGGCTCTGCTAGCCAGGGTAATGCCAGCCAGGGCTATGCCCTATATGTATGTGCATGTGTGTGCGTGCGTGTACTACGTGTATGCTGGGATTTGATGCTGTTTGTGGGGTCTTCTGGGCCCGTCTGAGCTCTGGGACAGGCCACGTCCGGCAGAGGAGCCTGTTTTGCGTTAGCTGCCAAGCTGACATCTGCCGTGTCACCGCCCCGTTTCTCTGAACTGGTTTCTCCAGTCTGGTCCGAACCTCTGGGTACCAGCATGTGTGCAGATTCCCCCCCTCCCCCATCCCCATCCTGGCCAACTACCCACGCAAATATCAAGGCGCAGCATCGAGATGTCCGGGCTACCGCATGTGCCGGTTGATGGGGAGGGGCTGTGATTATGGGCGGGCAAGCACCCCAAGATGGTGGCGTTGGGCATGTATCCAGCAGCAAGGGCGCACATAAGCCATACAGGCAGATTCGTGCGTATTGCAGAGCCCATTGGCGACGAACGGAGGCCGGGCGGTGCCCAGGAACTAGGTCCGTCGAATCACGCAGTCGGCGTTCGGCGTTGCAGCAGCTGCAGCAGCAGCAGCCACATATAGGTACCCAGATAGGTACATACGCCCCCTTGTCCAACCCCCGCACCCAAACCGAACCGTGTAGTTGGGTTCTCGCAAACAGCGGATCAACAACAACAGACGTGGAGGCATGGGATGCCTGTCGGGCCCATCGATCTGGGATGGCAGGGAAAAAAAAAGAAGTAAGGATGAAAAAGAAAAAGCAAAGCTGGCGTATGAGGATCCAAAGGAGACATGGCCGCAGCCAGCGTCGGGTTCCCCTGCATGGCAGCAGCAAAACAGCAGCCATGGACCGCCGCCGTCGCTCACTGTCCAACGTCTCGTTCCCATCCGTCTCCCTACCTAAGTGGCTACCTACCTATCTAGCTACCTACCTAACCTAACCTAGTGCAGGCTGACAACGCTTGCATCCCACCAACCCCCTTTTTCGTTCCCTGCTTCCCCCATCTCCACCACCATCACCACCATCGCCGCCGCCGCCCACTTGCTTCTTCCACCCCAGCAGCCGGCAGACAGCAAGGGGGGGGTGTAAGGATGCGTCATAGGAGGGGGTTCAATATGCGTGCCAGGACGGCGGGTTTCCAAGAGTGGACCAGGAGGGGGTGCAGACAGCCATGACCAAAAAAAAAAAAGAAACTAGTATCATGACCCTCTGGAGCCGGCACGGACCTCTCTTTTCGGAGGACCGGCTATACCGTCTCGATTAGGGGTCAAGAAGGCAATATGGCATCCTCCTGAAGGCTGGTATAGGCCACAACGAATCACGGTGACCATCCCTGGCGCCGGGCGCGTGTATAAAGAGGGCGACGGTCTCCTCGGCGAGGGCATCTTTTTGGAAATGTTGATCATCGCGCTCTGACCACCGCCTTGGCTGGATATTCACACATACTTCAGTCTCCTACAAGAGATACAAAAACCACATTCACACACCCACAAAATCACATCTTTCGGACGGCATGATGGACAACGGAGCCGCAAGCCGGATCGCCAAGACGAGCAAAGATGTGAGCTTGCTTCCACAAAGAGGTGCTATGGTCTCAGTGCCGTGCTAACAAGGGGCCACCGTGCTCTCTCTCAAGGCCGCCTGGATCGAGAGAGCCAAAAAAGCAGCCGAGAAGAACGCGGCTGAGAAGCAAGCCGAGGAGGACAAGCGCAAGCGAGAGGAAACCCAGGGTGGAGGTGGAGGTGGGAAGTCCACCTGATTAGACAACCCACAGTACGCACCAGAGCAGCTCAGGCGGGAGCATCCGAAGGGGGAGGGAGAAGGAAGGAGGGAGAAGGAAGGAGGGAGGGGGGGCTTGTACATGTGCCGTAGGCCATTGGTCAGATCTGTGCGACGCAGTTGTGCTTGTGCTGGAGCTGCTCCACACTAGGCGACGTCACAACACACAGACTCGGCCTGCCCTTATACACCTTATTTCTCGAAACAGGCCAGGCGATCGTGCTTCCATGTTGGGCCTGTGTCTTGGTCCCTGAAAATGACATCACTGGCCCGGGGGATGCGATTAGCACATGCCATCTTGCATGGCTCAAAACCTTTCCGAGTAACGGCTAAAGACCTTGGTCTGATACGGGCTTGGATGGCTACCGTCGGGGCCAGCAACGCTGACGCCATGTCGAGGGTGGTATATCAGTGGCCAGAGCTGCGCAAGTGTCGCCTGTGATAGACAATCTTGCAGGTCGATCCACTGATGGCTGCTGGCAGGTGGGCAGCAGCTGGATCGTGCAGCCCAGCCCCTCGGGCGTGTGTAGACAGAAGAGGGACGGAACGGTAGCATTGTACACGCCAAGGTAGCCAGCCTGCCTGCCACCTGCAAGCCACGATCTGACTTTATCCCAGTCCGCGATGGCGGCGAGTGTGGAGCTAGCAATCTTGGCTGGAGAAAAAAAAGCCACAAGGCAAGGCCGATCGTCCTGCGCGGGGATATGGAATCTGGATCGATGGACAGGCATAAGTGACTGGGGTCCTGTGGAGAGCCCAGCTGGGCGTCACCAGCCAGGTCCGTGATGCCACAAATGGACATATGCGTGCTAGTCACCTGGTATCCAAGTAAGCCGGCACTAAAAAAAAGACAGCACAGGGAGAAGAAAAAAGAAAAGAAAGAGGAGGAAGGGAGAAGAAGCAAGGGCCAGGTGATGTTAGCACATCTAGACACCCAATCACTGGCCGGCATCCAACTTGGACGTCCAGCGATGCCAGCCACGGCGCAGCCATGGATAGGGTTCATCGGCTAGGTGCAGACTCGCGATAAGAAGGCCCGAAGCGGTCAGAGATGGCGACGCCGAGGTTTTGGTGATATCGAGAGGCCATCCACACAGGTGGCCGGGCAGCCAGCCCGGGCGCATATCGCCAAGGGGTGTGGGGGACAGGACATGAGGAGGAGTGGCTCGGTCCTGCAGGTTCCTCTGGGGCATCGCCTGTCCTGCATCCAGAAAGACAGGGTTGTCCAGACCGGTGTGAAGTTATCGGGCGGTCCCAAGGCCGAGGCAGCGCTCTCATTGGGGAGGCGGGCACGAGGAGAGTCCCACCAGGGCGTTATGCCTCGATGGCATATGCGAGCTGGGAGAATATCCCTCAGGCCCATGCAGCCGTCCCGTCAAGAGGAGCCGGCGGCCAGGAAGCGAGGAGTGTTGGGCTGCGACCAGAAGGTCAAGTGACGGGCGTGGCGGGTGGTGCTTGTTGCCTGTGCTGGTACTGGTGCTATCTGCTATCCTGGTGTTTGTGCTTGTGCTTGTTGGGCGGCCCTACCAGAACGGCGGGTTGGCGAGAGGGCAACGAGTCAGTCAGTCAGCTCTGGCCACGACAGCTGGAGCCCGGCCGGCGTGGTGGGACGTGTTGCTGGTGGTAAGTGGTGGCGGTGGTGGTGCTGGTGGTGCTGGTGTTTTTGCCTGCATGCTGGATGCTGGATGCTGGTCTTTTCCAGGGGTGGGTCGGCACTAGGGTTTACATCACCATGATGGGCACGACTGCAAGATTGGAAATCCAGCGAAACAAATGCCGATGCCGTGATGCCTGCCTACCTAGGAACGGCAAGTGCTCCGGGTGGGTTGCACCTGCCGCAGTCAGCGGCCGTGCGCCGCCCCAACACAACATGTGCGATCAATTCCAGCACCAATCCCAGCACCAATCCCAGCACCAATCCCAGCAGGCTGTGCCCGCTGTGGCCTGGGCTCTCCCGTGTCCACTATCGTGTGTGCCTCCACACTCTGCCCAGCTAGCGCTGGTGTCTAGCCCTGCTGCTCCACAGCCAGCCTCGCGCGTGGGACAAGCTGACACCGAAAGGCGCTGGTGACGTCCTCGTGATTCCGTGATTCCCAGCCGAGCAAGCACTGGACCCATCTGCCGACAGCGCCAGCAGCCCTCCCAGCCGTAGATACCCAAGAGAGGCAGAGCCACGCACATAGGCCGGCGGACAGGCAGCCGGGCCCTCTCAATTTCATTTGGAATACACCACCCTCGGCTCGCTGCCCTGCTCCTTGCTTCGCCGCGCCCAACCAACCGTTTTCTTTCCATCGGTTTGGCGCCAGGACGTGACGCCGCCGTCTGCCTGCTCTACCTGCTCTGCTTGCGCTCTCGTCTGGCAGCCGCGGCAGAGAGAGAAATCCAGCCATCGCCTGTCCGCCCAACGCGTTACCGGCTCTCCGTTAGGTCGTCCCTGCGACCCACCCTGACCGGGCAGAGCAGAGTAGGTTGCGCCGCAGGCTGCTGACAGCCCCAGCCCAGACACTGCTGCAATCGCCCTCGCCGACATCCCGTCTCCCGCTGCCGGCGCTACCACCGCCAACACCACCATTCCGGCCGCAACCATGGATTCAAACGTTACGCGGCTGCTCAACGATAAGATTTATGACAAGCGGAAAGTCGGTGCTTTAGAGTGCGTGCCCAACTAAGCTCCCGTCTCCTACCCAAAGCCTAACACTTAAACTCAACCCCCTTGCTTGCTGCCCAGGCTCGAGCGCGCCATCCGCGAGCTGGTGTCAACCAATGACCATGACCGTGTCCTTGCCATCCTCGACCAGCTCTGCAACGAGTACGCTTATGCCATCCACAACCCGCATGCCCGCAACGGCGGCCTGATAGGCCTTGCCGCTGCCGCCATCGCCCTCGGCCCAGTAAGTGCGAGAGACGGCGCTCCACAGGCGTCCGCCAATATCACACTCTGCCACACGTCACTCTGCCGCTCCCCCCGCCCCCTAGCCCGGCGCAGCCACCCGTCCGTCTAACCACTCCGTCACTCCCACCACTCGTCACAGGAGCTGCCGAGATATCTCGAGAAAATCGTGCCCCCTGTGCTGGCCTGCTTTACCGACCAGGACGCCCGGGTGCGATACTACGCGTGCGAGGCCCTGTACAACATTGCAAAGGTCGCCAAGGGGGAGATCCTCATCTACTTTAACCACATATTCGACGCCCTGTGCAAGGTACGTATCTTCGCAAACATGTCATCGGCGCACATGCACCCCCTTCTCATCTTTCTCGTCCTCACGCCCCCTCCTCTGCAGTATCGTGCATACATGCGCGGTGGTGTGCTCGTTCCGGGTCACAAGACCCTCGCAGCCATACTTTAATCCTAACCAACCCCTTTTTCCTCCCCTCCTGTAGCTGGGCGCCGACTCCGAACTCTCGGTCAAAAATGGTGCCGAGCTCCTGGACCGCCTAATCAAGGATATTGTATCCGAGTCCGCAGCCACCTACGTGTCCGTCCTTGAGACGTCCCAGGACTTCTCGCTCGATCCCGAGGCCATCAAGGAGGGCATCGAGGATCGCGGGCCACTACCCACCGCCTTTTCGCTAAGACGCTTCATCCCGCTGCTCAAGGAGCGCATCTTTGTCATCAACCCTTTTACGCGCACCTTCCTGGTTGGCTGGATCGTGTTGCTCGACTCTATCCCGGACCTTGAGCTCGTCACGTTCCTGCCCGAGTTCCTGGGTGGTCTGTTGCGCTTCCTCAGCGACGCCAACCGGGACGTCCACGTCGCCACCCAGGGCTGCCTAGACAAGTTCCTCAACGAGATCAAGCGCATCTCGAGGATCAAGAAGGGCATCGCCGAGAGCAAGAAGTCCAAGGGCGGTAAGGGCGAGGGCAAGAGGAAGCGTGAGGACTCCCTGGACAGCACCAGCGTCCGCGGCGTCCCCGCGCCTGACGACCTAAACGAGACCGACTCGCAGACGGCCCACGACGACGACGAGGTTGGCGAAGACGACGACGACGACGAAGCCATCACCAGTGACGAGGACGACTGGATTCCTGGCCAGGACGTCCAGATCGAGTACAAGGCGATCCTGGAGATCCTCACTGCCACGCTCGACTCGCCATTGGGTATGCATGCTCCGCTTAATAATAATGATCGTCACCGACAGTGCACTGCTAAGCAACCCTTTACCCTATAGAGGAAGATGGCTTGCTCGAGTCTTTACGATGGATTGTCGATTTTCTCGATATCTGCCCGGAGGAGGTGCTCCCTTTCACGCCAAAGATTTTGGCCCACCTCCTCCCGGCCATGGCCAGCGGTGTCGAATCGATACGCCTGGCTGCCGCCAGGGTCAACACGTCCTTGATGAACTATGTGATGTCGCTCTCGGATGAGCCTGAAATTGCGCCAGGCCAGTCTGTACCGCGCCTGCCAGCCCCACACCCTGAAAAACCGGACAAGCAAGACGGCGGTGGTCACACCCACAGCGCGCGGCCTTCCCTCTCGGGCTCTACTCGGGACCTTGAAGTGAGGAGCCCGACGCCGGGCCTGGCCAACCGGGCTGCCGCCGCAACCCCTGTGCCGTCAGTCACGGCTCCTAGTGCGCCCGCGACCCAGGCGGCTGGAGCTGTGCATCCCCAGGCAGATTTGGACTACGCCGCCGCCGTCAACTCCCTGACGCTCTTGTTCCTGAATGATCACGAGGCCACGCGAGTGGCCGCGCTGACGTGGCTCATAATGCTACACCGCAAGGCGCCCAGGAAAGTCCTCGCCTTCAACGACGGAACCTTCCCCGCTCTGCTCAAAACACTTTCGGATCCGGCAGAGGCGGTCGTCACCAAGGACCTGCAGCTTCTCTCGCAGATCTCGCGCAACAGCGAGGACGACTACTTCTCCAACTTTATGGTCAACTTGCTGCAGCTCTTCTCTACTGACCGCAAGTTGCTAGAGACACGCGGCAACCTGATCATCCGCCAGCTCTGCGTCAGCCTCAGCGCCGAGCGCATATACCGCACGCTGGCAGACTGCATAGAGAAGGAGGAAGACGTCGAGTTTGCAAGCATCATGGTCCAGAATCTGAACAACAACCTGATCACGGCACCCGAATTGTCGGATCTGCGCAAGAGGCTGAGGAACCTCGAGACCAAGGTAGGATATGCCCCATAGTCGTGGTTTTGGACTTGCGAGAGCGCGCGTGTGCTAAAACCAACGTCAAACAGGACGGCCAAACATTCTTTGTGGCCCTGTTCAGGTCGTGGTGTTACAACGCGGTGGCCACCTTCTCGCTCTGCCTGCTCGCGCAGGCATACGAACAGGCATATAACCTTTTGCAGATATTCGCCGAGTTGGAGATGACCGTGAGCATCCTGATCCAGATCGACAAGCTGGTGCAGTTACTCGAATCGCCAGTGTTTACATGTGAGTCCGCTCCCACGAGAGCAGGCTGAGTCGGGGTCAGGGGCGGCAAGACTAACCTTGTGGGCTGTCACGCACGCGAACCCTGACCAGATCTCCGCCTTCAATTGCTTGAGCCAGAGAAGTATCCGCATCTATACAAGTGCCTTTACGGACTCCTGATGTTGCTGCCCCAATCATCGGCCTTCGCGGCCCTCAAGAACCGCCTCAACAGCGTGAGCTCGATTGGGTATCTGCATATCGCACCTAGACCGTATGTGACCTCCAACGCAGCTTCTAACGCAGCTGCTAGCGCTGCCTCGGGCCACTCGCGCCAGGGCTCCATAGCCGAAGCGCTGCAGTCCCTCCAGTCCCTCGCCCCTCGTCCCCCTTTATCAAAATATAGCTTAGACACTTACACAATTACCCAACCCCACAGCGGAACCACCACTCCCAGCAGCGGGTCCAACTATGACAGGAGCAACCGACTCAAGGGCCGCGAAGAGGGCATCATCCGCTGGGCGGAGCTGCTCGAGAAGTTCCGGAGCGTGCAGGAGCGCGCGAGGCGGGCGCAGCGGCCCGGTGGAGTTGGAGATCTCGACGACGGAGGCCCAGGTCTCGATCTGCGTCTCGGGGAGAGCCTAGACGCAAAGCCCGCCAAGGACGCCAGAGCCCAACCGCCTCCGGTCCCGCTCAAAGATGCTCCGGCGCAGGCGAAGCCGAGGGCTGGACTTGGACGACCCGTCTTTGGGAGGTTTGGCGGAGCTGGAGGCGGGAGAGCGAAGCGAGGCCAACAGTGAGAGTGCCGATCCGTTCCTGGCGAGGCCAGTCAACTCCCTCGGCTACAGGATCTCCATGTTTTCTGTATTCGTTATTCGCTTTGTTTTTGTTATAGAGAGTCTGGTCACACCCCGTCTAACTACACAACACTAGGCAATATTTTGCTAGTGTGCGAGTCTTCTTTTCTCCTTACTTATCTTTTTCCTTCCTCTTGTTTTGTTTTGCTCTTCATATTTTCTCTGCTGTTTACCGCAGCTTTTTTTGCATTGTAATGATACCAGGCAATCATTTATGGGCTCGCAGAAGAATGATGCCCAGCCACCCGAGTGTTGTGCATGCGTGACCTGGATGGTAATAGGTGACATGCGTAGGCGGTTCGTGGAAATGCCTCACCCCCTCGGCTTGCGCGGCGTCTCCCGCTCGACCAGACCCTCGAAGACGGCATCCCGGCGTTGGGTGAGCCTCCGGAGCACGTCCCTCCGAGCCTCGAGCTCGCGGCGGGCCATGGCGGCGTCTGGTGGGAGGCCCTCAAAGGCGCGCAGCCGGGCGTCGAGGGCGCGCTTACGGTGCAGCAGCTCCAGGTAGGCCTCCTCTTCTGCGCGGACCTGCTCCACGGTCGGGTCGGGCAGGCGGCCGCCGGCGGCCGCGGCCTGG